AACCTGCATGGTATAAAGTAGGCATTTTAATTGGACTTAGTAATGTGGTTTGGTCTTTGGGCAAGTCCTTGACACCCGTGAGACACAGGGTCTTGCTGCAGAAGCCTGACAAATCGCCAAGCATCCTGCTCTGAAGATCCTTAAAGGAACTACATTAAAGAAAGGGTTGGGTTTAGGGTTTAGGGTTACCAAGGACCATAAAGGGTGGACACAGGGGTCCTTGTGGCAGTTTCACATAGTCTGCAATATAATCCGAAATAAGGGCCCGTGTTCATTAACTACATAAGCAAATGTTGACTGTAGATTATAAATAATTCCAGTTTAACCCCAAGTCGTTTTGTGATCTAATGGGCCCCTGCATTATGCCTATCCAACGTCCAGAGTGCTAGCCGACGCATGTGAGTACCGCGACGCTTCGGCGCAACTAAATAAACCCTTGCCCAGTCGACAACAAACTTCTCACAAGACTCTCCACCCCCTAATCTGCAACCCCCCCCCCCCTCCCCCCGACACCCCTGAATCTGAAGTTAAGAGACTTCAGTCACAGTGCGCAGACAGTCTAGTTAGCGCTTGCGCATGTTTTTACGAACCTCGATGCAATTTTCTGTAGAATTCAGATGGCCTTATCAGAGTCCCTTCCCGCAAACACCTTGGGGAAGTAGGTCCTGTCGTTAACTGCAGGCGAGCTCCCACAAGCAGGGCACAAGGGCGTGCACTAGGCCAAGGCATGACAGTGGATGCTGCTCTTGCGTTGCATTGAGAGATTTGGCCCAGAGGACCTGTATATTGGGTAATCTAGGGTATACACAGGGATCATGGAAAACAAAATGGAAACCACTAGTCCAAGTACTCAATAGCTCAGAACTTTGGAGTTGGGCATCAGAAAGTAAAGTCGTACGCAGGGTACTTGGATCCTTGTGGTAGGGGTTGGTGGGCTTAGGTACCTGTTATGTTTACGCTTAGAGGTTGGGTGAGCTTGCTGTTGGTCGGTGGCGTAGTACTGGTCTAGGCAGGAGCCTAAGCCAACAAGATTGGTTCATGTTCTCGCTAAACCGCAAAGCCTGAACTTTGTGGGAAAGCTTGTGCTGACATCAACGTTGCTGGCTGAGGCTGTAAAGAAGAAGCCGCTCAAGAAGCCTTAGTAATTTGAAAGCAGTGAAAAACAGATGGGCAATAACTTGTGAGTTGAAGTGACAATTGGGTTTGTATAGAGGTTGGTAGGGTTGTAATGCCGGGAGCCGAACAATTGCCAAAATTGCTCCCCAACAATTCTTACTTAGGGGTTTGTGCGACGTACCAATTACGTGCTTCTAACTAGGGCGCTAGTTGGGAGAACATATATAAGTTCAGTCAGGAGGACTATGCCCACAACTAGGCAGTTACTAAGTTGCGAGGCCTTGACTAGCAAGGCTAAGCAGGCATGTGAATCCCATGCAGCTCCATGCACCCCACCCACTGCCCCGCTCTACGTGAAAGTGGGCCACTATCTTCTTGTTCAGAGGACGTGCGGAGGGTTGAAACTAGTCGTGGGTGCAGGGCGGGATGGGCTTGGAGCGCCACAAGAACCATCTATACCCCGCGACTTATATTGGCTGTTCTCAAAGAATTTTTGGAGCAGCCTTGATGGGTCGCTGACCGGCCTTGCGCGGCAGCGCAGCAGCTTTGTCACCTTGCGCTCTACATGGCTTGCTGTGCTGCAAGTGATTGAAGGATGGATGCCGGAGCCTGAGAAGCAAGACTACTGCGTAGGCGAGGAAGAGCGCTCGCGCCAGGTACTTCTGGCCCAGCTTGCAAGCTGTTTCATGCTCCTGAGTACGTACTAAAATGGGGCTTAGGGTTTAGGAGTCAGGGTTTAGGGTTAAGGCAAAATTGCAAGGCTTTCTACAGTACCAGGATTCCTAAATCTTCCAGACAAACTTCCCGATACCCAACAACCTGAGATTTTCAGTTCCCCAAACCCTAAACCCTAAAACCTGGGATTTTAGTTCAGTGGGGTTGGTCGGGCTCCCAATCCAAGATCCCTTGGAAAGTAAATCCTGAAGGTTGGTGTCCGCAAGCCCCTAGGAATAGTCAGATTTTAATGGTTTAGGGTTTAGGATTTAGGGTTTAGCAGCGCATTCTTCAATGCTTGGGCCGTGCCACGTTTGTCTGGCAGGCAAATACGAAGCGGCGTGATGCTGAGCACAACGGGCGTAGATGAGATGCTTCCCCGACCCGCAAAAAGTGGTACAATAGCAATATGTGGGACAATGATCAAGTTGGCAGTATTCCTTGCGGTCACAAATTCCCAAAGGGTCCACGTAGGTATGTACTGAGGCTAGGGCCGAGAAGTTTGCAAGTACACACAGCTAGCGTAAACCCTCAACCCTACATGGAACCTTTGAGCCGTGTGGTCACAGCTAGTGGGGTCAGGGGACCGCCTTGACGCGTAGTATGCCCCTAGGATCCCTTCAGGCAGGGAGAGGGCATATAGGGTTCCCAAAACGAGGAGTACCGTTTTGGGGAGTCGCAACAATAATTCTATTTGGAACATCTATATTGAGGCCCCCTTCCGTGGGGCAACCACCATTTTTCTGATCTGGCCATATTAGGGCTTGCAGCCACGGAGTTTAGGAGGTACTTGGACCTGACGTTGCACACCATCTTGGCTTTGTGTCCTCATTGGCCTCTGCCAAAGGGTCCATGTGGGTATATAAATTGTATACTGAGGGTCTACAGGGGTTCCCATATAGCTACTTCAAGGCCCAAGTATATACTCTACAGCCAACCCTAGCACCTAAACCTTAAACCCTATTCTATATAGCGACATGAACCCTTTGGGCTTTGTGGTGTGCATTCCGGGTTGCCTGGGTCTGGCTAGGCTTCAGGCTTTAGAGTCTAGGTCTTCAGGGGGTGAAGTAAGGTGTAGGTCTACACCTTACCTCACCCCCTAAAGCCCTAAGCCCTTAGGCTTCAGGCATTGGGGGGTTAAGGGCCAGGGTTGGAGATTGCCATGGTCTTAAACCGGCAAGTGTAAACTATGGATCCACAATTCCTTTATGACCCTAAACCCCTGCACCCTGAACCCTATCTAGTCCCATATATAACCCCTTCTTAAAGAGTTTAGACTACGGCCCATTTTGGGGTCATGTATGGCAGAAGTTTGCTCTTCGAGCATGGATCTACGAGGACTGGTTTAGGGTTTAGGATTTAGGGTTCAGGAATTAGGGTGAGCATTCTGTGACAGACGGTCACCTGATACAGGCCCTGGATTCAGAGCTTGCAAATTTTAGGGTTTAGATACCGGCTTGTTCCTGTGGGTTTCTGGCAGGCTTAGGCATTACAAGGCTGCTGCGCGCTCAGTGCCAAAAAGCCATTCGCATGGGTTAGCGCACAAGCATGAAGCCCTGGTCCTGAACCGGACTCGAAGGGCCCAGATAACTATTTAGATAGGTGGTTTAGGGTTTAGGGTCTAGGATTTGGAGTTTAGGGTTGAGGGCTTAGGGTTTAGGAGCCCCTCAACAAACTCCTTTAGGCCCCAATCTTGTACTTTATCCTGCATGCTTAGGCCCATAGCGCTCTGGAACTCGTGCTTTTTGGATATAGGGGCCTACACGCTCTGGGAAAGCAGGCAGTGTAGCTTGACCCATGTGAGGTACAGGCTAATTTAGGTTGGGGCGGACCTATAGGGGACTATATAGGGTTTTGGGGTGGGACCTATTAAGGGATATTCTACAACTTTAGTCCGAGGCCCGAGGGCTCATGTGTTGATTTTCCACGTCTCTGGAGCCGGGCCTAACTATCGTAACTACCGACTATCGCTTATGTGATAAGGCTACAGCCTGAATTGAACCGAGGCGATGTTCAAGCTCTGTAGGTACGTAGGTTGTCTAAAGTTAGTTGTTTCGCCAGCATTTGGGCGCAGGACATCGGAAAAGACTGCGCCGCGCAATCTCGGCTCTGGCTGTCCAACAGATTCAACTCACGCAATGTGATTTGCCAACTACATCCTATATATCCAAGGCGCGGTTCTTTGCTTCAGGGCTTGGGGTTTCTGCGCATCATGTTCCAAGGAAGGAGGGGCTTAGATTCCTGTACCCAGACCTTGTGCAGCTTCACGATAGTTACGGTTATAATATCAGCGTCAAAAGGGACCCCCATAATCCCGTGGATTCCCCATATATTTCAATAGGGTCCCCAGGAATCTTCATCAGCGCGCTGGGACAGAGGAATCGCAAAACCCACAACCCCAAACCCAGCAAAAGTCAAGCAGAATCGAAGAGTGTTTGGAACAGGGAGAACGACCGTAGGGACCCATTCGCCTATTCCCAACTAGGCCTGGGTAAGATTTCGATGTTTCCAGAAAGAGGGCCGTCCATACAGACTCCAAAACACCAGAATCCTGATTACAGGTCCCTCCGAAAAAAGAACCCCTGAAGTGTTGGACACCCGCAGTGGCTCTAGAAATCCCTGTGTATCTCTACATATCCCTATGTATATATATATATATTCAACCCCAATTAAACCCTAAATGTACATGTTCATTGCCATCTCATTCCATGGCCTTGTATCTATGGTTTTGTTCATCTCATTTCGGCCCAAAGGGCCAATGTAGTTGTAAAGTAGATACTTGGGCCCCAAAGTAGTTGTGAACCCCTTTGCGCCGTAATATATACTATGCACCTAGCCTAAGCCCTGAACCATGTGTAGTGTCTACCTACATAGTCCCTTACCCTAAACCCTAAGCCCTACACCCTAAACCCTACACCCTAAACCCCCCTTGGGAGGGTTCTGTCGCAGGCCATATACTATGTACCTACCCTAAACCCTAAGCCCTGAACCCTAAACAACCTACATAGCCCCCTTGGGAGGGTTCTGTCGCAGGCCAATCTTATTATAATATACCCGAAGCCATATTCTATCTACTTAAGGGGGATTATATACCCCCTAAACCCTAAACCCCACACCCTAAACCCTAAACCCTAAACCCCAAACCCTAAACTTTAAGGGTTCTGTGGCAGGCCATGGTTCACCTGGGATCTCTTTGGCGGTTTTGCGCCCTGCTTGGAGTGGCTGAAGGCCGACGTGCCGTGCAGGCGTGGCTCGGGTTCAGCGTTAATATAGTCATATGAGTAGTATTGTATTTGGGGATACTATGGTAGCCAATATAGAGTAAGATTATATCCTCCTTTTGGGGTATAGTATTTTACATAAGGGATATAATCTTATTGGGTTTAACCACCAAACAAACGCCACTCAAATGTAGGGATTGCATACCGGTGTAGGGAAAGGTACATGTATATACGCATATGCACGTATCTGTAGGGATATTGGGGTTCAGGCTCGCGGTTCAGGTTTAGGACTTTTAGGCTATGCCAGCACCTAACGTTTTTGGGGTTATGCTGAGTCATCAAGGGGTAACTTGCGACCAAACTGCAGGTAGTCTCAGATAGTTGGAGTCACAGGTACTGCAGGCTTGGGGGGCCAGAGGATTGGTGTAGGCTTTAAGCCAAACCCTAAACCCGAACCCTCAACCCTAAACCCTGAACCCTAGACCCTGAACCCTGAACCCTAAACCTTGATTGGGGATCAGTCTCCATGGCTTCTAGTCCTGGAGGTTCACTCTATTTGGGTCAAGAGCCTGAGGCTAGCTCTTGGAGGCTTCCACTAGAGCCTCAGGTATGATTACTTAATAAGTCCCTGAACCTGCAAGTAGCTGAGAGTGGCTGAGAGCGCCAGGATCTTGGGAATTCGTTTTGAGGGCCTAAACCCTAAACCCATAATATGAGCTACAGTCTAAACTCGTTTCAGGGGGTAGGGGATTATATAGGGGGTATGGGGATATTCAAGAGGATACTCGGATTTTAGACCATAGCTCATATGATGATTCGGTTCCTGGGCCCTTGGGGTAGGTTCCCTCGAAGCATTCGAAATAGTCCCTACATTGGCCTTGCATGTTCCCTGATAGGGCTCCCGGACTATCCTCATTATGGCTACATCCCGAAGGTCCCAAAGGTGATATGGCAGTGTCCCAAAATAGGGGGACCCCATGATAGACGCCAAAATACTATTATCCATATTATAGAGACCCCCGAAAAAGGTACACCAAATCTTGAGAAACCCTAAACCCTATAAATCCTTGTATCCCCCAATATACATCTTATATAACAACTATAAACCCCCTTTAAAGGGTACCCCTAATTTTGGGAAACCCCCATATGGCTGAACCTTTAGATGATCCCTATGGAGTCCTTCTGGGGGGACCCTATAGCTTACGAATAATTTCGATATGTACATGTATGTGTATGGTATATAGATGTATGTCTCTAGCAGTTTCCAGAAATTGGGGTCCCCTGGCTTCAGGCTTGGATTTGGGATTTAAGGCTTCTCATATAAAGGGTCTGGGGTGTAAGGCTTCCTGTAGTAAGAACTCATATAATAAGGACCTGTAGTATACCCTAAACCCTGAAGCCTATACCCTGAACCCTAAACCCAATGTTCAGAACAATCCCAATCCCCACCTGGGGGTATCCATTGAGGTATTTTCTGTTACAGCATTGGGGTACGTGTTCCTGCAAGAGGGAATGACCTAAGGTATCCATACATAGCGGGCCCCAATATAGACGCCGACAAAACCCTAGTTTCTGGAAAGCCGCACATACACACTTGCATCCTGACATGTCATACCTCCGGCACCTTCTTGATGCAACTATGTTGGTAGCAGCTTGCATGACCCCTACATCCTGAACCCGTCACACAGCACTGAACCCTAGACGCTATAAAGCCTTACCAAATATAAACACCAAAAACCACTAGAACCTGGATTCTGGCACCCAGACCATGAACTGTAAACCCTAAGCCTACATCAGCACTGAACCGCGGATTTGTCTGAGGTTGAAACCATGGGCCCCTAGTATGGGCCCTTAGCCCTGGGATCCTTACATACCGGCTACATAGCCTAGATGTAGCCTTAAGGGTCCCTAGAATCCCCCTAAAAGGCCTAAGGGCCCATATTAGGGGCCCATATTTGTAACCTTAGATTTAAGGGAGCTCAGCGAGCGCATCTCAAGGCCAGGGGGACACTTTGGTCGGCGGGAGCTTCTCAATAATCACGGGCGTACCCAGGTTGTCCAAGTATCCAAAAAAGAGGGACCCGGGATTAGGGGAATACAGGCAATGGTAGTTATAGCATAAGTTTTGGGCAAGCGTTTAGGGTTTAGGATTTAGTATATATGATGGTTGAGCACCTGAACCTTTAGTGGCATAGTCCATGTAGGAAGGAATCCGCAGGACCCCATGTTTGAAAGCTGACACCTGCTGCCCTGAAGGTGGATCATTCCTTAGACGTCGCGCAGGCGTGCGGCTGTTCCGCGTTATACGAGCCATTGTCTAAGCTCCTAATAATATCCTCCTCATAGCCCATATACTACTCCCCCACATAATCTTCTATGTAACCCCCTTTAAGGAGTTTAGACTATAGCATGCATAGGGCTTCGGACAGTTTTGGAAGAGGGAAACTGTGCATATGGGTTATATACCGAGCAACAAGGGACCTAAGTTAAGAGCCCACACGAGGAGCCCATTGTCTAGCCTTGGATTACAACCCACGCCTTTCCCGCCCCGGTACGGCTTGGCAGAGTTTGGAAGGTTATTTGTCCGCTTGTGGTTCTGAGAAGCAGGCTCGCTGTTTTGACCGGATTTCTGACTTATGGCCAAGAATAAGAGCTTGCAAAGCTTGAGGGTTTTGTGTTTCCTCGGCGCTGGACACGAAAACATGGGAATTTATGGGACATTTCTTTTTCTGGAAAGATTCTGCATGGCTAGCCTCCCAGAAGTCTCGAGCTTTAGAGTACTTTATAGGGCCAGCCCGAGTAATTTCTTATCATAAGCAGTATCATCCCGAACCCCCCCAAACATTAAACCGCAAATCCACTCAGCCAGGGCGGCCAGGGCGACCAGTTTTGCTGCTGCGTTGAGGGCATCTGTGCTGAGAAATATCGAGTAGGCCCTGATGGCGGGGAGCCAGAAGCTGCCGCTGTCTCTGCAATTAGGTAGAATTCAGGGTTTAGGGTTTGGGCTACGGTTTAGGGGTTTATGGTTTAGGGGATTAGGGTTTAGGTTTTTGGTATTAGAGTTTATATAGGGCTAGAGTATTCATTGGGCTGACAGTTTGGGGTTTAGAGTGCGGGGTTGAGGGTCCAAGTGTATCCCTAATGACCCACAGGTTTATGGGTTTTCTCGGAGTTCCCTTCACTTTGTATCTAATTGTCCATTTGGTTCTCCAATATTGCTGGCTGAACCTTAAAGGCCCTAATCAGTGCTTTCCATGTCTTTCCCATTATGTATACAACTTCCAGAGTAACCCTTTTGCTTCTCGGAGTAACCCTACACCCTAAACTGTAGCATGACAGGGAGGTTGACAATTTGGTGGCTTCCAGGATCGGCTCCGGATTGAAAAGTTGAAGGGTGATTTTGAGAAGCTGCCCGAACGGTCCATGTAGGTATGTAGTGTATACTTAGGGTTACTTTAGGGCCCAAGTACTTACTAATTATATCGCTACATGGACCCTTTGGGGTAGTAGGGGGGTTGGGTACTGCCATCACTCATTGATCTATATATGGACCTTGATATGACCGCTATTATAGACTGTTAATGGGTGTTGGCTGGACCCAAAGTAGGGGATGTGTAGGTCTGGGCTTCAGCAGCTGTTCTGGATAATGTTTATCTAACTTATGGCGGTCGATTTTTTAATGCATCTCACACTTTGTGCAGGTAAGTGCTCAGGACGCTTCTGTTTCTACGACACGAGGTTCCTGCGATTCAGGTGCAGGGCGCTTGGGTGCTGATCTCCAGTCGAAGTTCTGCTGTAAGGGTCAAAACCGACTGGGAAAACCCAGTACCATCGGAGTACGTACGCTGCTTCCGCATCAGCCTTAATACGGTCACTGCTCCTGTTATGTAATCAGTGACAGCAGTAATATTCATGCCTCCGGGTCTCACCAATCAAAGTGTCTCCCCGCAGTTGTTGTTCTTATGTTCCTTCTCCATTTTATGCTGTGGACATGCAAAAGAAGTGTGTTTTGTACTTGGTCAAGCTCCCATGGTGCTGAGGTGGCCGTCTACAATCCCAATGAAAACCTGTGCTGCAGGTGGAGTCCTTGCTTGAGTTCCTAAAGTGGGAGGGACTAGATATAGTCTTATCAAAATTTAGGTTCAGGGTTTAGACTTTGGTGACTTCAGACAGCAAAGTTAGATGGGGCGCATTTTTCTTGCGAAGCAACCGCGAAATCCTTCGAGCGCGCTATGTTCATGTGTCGTTGGTCTCTGTGTTTTTGTTGTCTTCGGTCTTTCCCTAACTCGGACCCCAAGCCCTAGACCCTATAGAGACCCCAAACCATAAACCTAAATTCCAGACCCCAAACATTCCACCCTAGACCCTAAACCCCACAGCATACTAAATGGCCTAAATGCTACACCCCAAAACTTGCACCCGAAACCCTGAACCTTAAAGCTCTAGACAGATATGACACCCTGTCAGCGCAAGAACCTCACTGAACATACCTTGTATAAATAGCACCAACGCAGGATGTTCGTACTGTAGAAGCCTTGATACTTACCAATACAGAGTGAACAGGGGAGTATCGAGAGTCTACGGGGATATAGAAGCCCCAAGAATGGAAAACCGCATGGAAAAGGTACCTCAAATACACGTGAAAAATGATCTTGGTGTCCACTGGATCTTCCAGTATTAGGCCGTATGTCCCCATAGTATCCCATCATACCCGAAACCCTATACATACATCATACCCCCTAAGCTTTTCGGCCTCTACCTATCAGGACCGTACTTTAAGGGGGCACCTGGTCCCTAATAGCGGTACTCAGGGTAAGGTTGAGGGTATATGGAAGGTTTAGATGGACATCTGTACCCCCTAAACCCTAGGTGGACAATTCTACCCTCCATACTTTGGTCCTAGACATTGAGGAACGAGGAGACTGCTGGGAGGCTCCATTTTTGGGATCCTTTACTGTCAGAGATCCTCTTGAAATTAGGGTTTACGGTTAGGTAAGAGATTAATCCACTTGAAAAGCCTTCAGATCCCCCCTCAAAAATTCTCACCCTGTAGAAGTAGTTTGCCTAACCCATTAGTAACCCTACAGTCCTGCAAAGTAGACTCAGCCCTACACCCCTCAATCGAAGACGAAAACAAGTGATGCGATAGAGACTTGTCAAAATGACCGAATGCATAAACCCTGACCCCTTAACCGTAAAGCCCTGAACCCCTAAACCAACCCTAAACCCTAAACCCTACACCCCTGAACCCCTAAACCAACCAAACCCTAAACCCTGAACCCCTAAACCAACCAAACCCTAAACCTTTAAACCCTTGAGCCCTGAATAAACCCTATATAAACCCTATATCAACCTTATATAACCCTATATAACACCTATAAAACAATAAACAGCCCCCTTAAACCCTTGAGCTAAAACCCTTAAACCCCAAAATCCTAAACCCTAAAACCAACCAAACCCTTAACCCCTGAACCCCTAAGCCAACCAAACCCTAAACCCCTGAACCCCTGAACCAACCAAACCCTAAACCTTTAAACCCTTGAGCCCTAAATGAACCCTATATAAACCCTATATAACACTTAAGAAACAATAAGCAGCCCCTTAAACCCTTGAGCCCTACGGGTTCTGGGCTTGCGAGGCTCAAGGATCGCAGTTGTGGACACGTACTCAACGCTTTCTCAAGCCTCTTTACTGCCTACCTGGGGTTAGGTTCAGGGTTCAGAAGGGCTTAGGGATTAGGGGTTTAGGGTATAGAGTTTAGTGTTTAGGGTTAGGTTATTAGGGTTTAGAAGGGTTTAGAAGTGTTGAGGGTTTAGGGCATGGGGTCGAGGGTCTTCCTGGACCCCAAAGGTAAATAGAACATTGCCTTTTTTGACAGTTGCTTGGGGGTTTTGGGCCACTGTTTTGCTTACTTCCAGGTGTAGGGCTTATCGGGCGTAGGGTCTAAGGCTGATGGCTGTAGGGTTTCAGGCTTGCGGTGTCCACGCAGAACTAGGGGGCCCTGAACTTGGGCGCCGTCGTTCTGACAACCTTGTCATTTTTGCACAATCTACCTGGAGGGTTCAAGGGTGCAAGAACAAAACTTCGAACTTGACTTTTAACCTTACCTAGAATCCCCGGACCTATATGGATTATGTGCACATGCAGTTGCTACACATGTGCCGTCATGAGCCTTCAAGTAGGGTGTACACAGTTTAGTAGGGTTGCTGTCCGTCACTCCCTAGAGTTTGGCTCTTACACTCGGATCCCAGAAGAAGGGGGTGCGGACATTGTTGTGGTAATTGAAGAATGGAGGGTCCTCTTTGTGTCCCGCCAAATAGCAAAGCTTGCAAAAGGATCTCTAACTATTTGGTCTTCTCCATGCAGCGATGGTTGTAACGCTTGGTAGGAGATTCATGGTCTCTCACGGTTGAGGATTTCCTGACGTCTTGGGTTCAGATGTTCCCCGCGCAGTTGCACGCTAAACCCTAAGGGAAGCGTCGACAAAGTTATTGTGGATGCATCACCCAGCATCTACAGGATTTGGAACTTTCTAGGGTATACCTTGGGTCATTGCCCCCTTCATTACGCCCCTGGAAGGACACTTCCTGTGAAGGAGAAAGACCCCAGGTGTACCTATAAAGGTCGTGCCAGACTTCCTCCATCCACAAACCTCTTTAAGTCTTGGAAAACCCGCACTCCTTTGCACAAAATCCCGTCAAACCTTACACTGATTCTATAAACTGTTGCGCAATGCTGGAGAAAGAAAAAGGTCGGTAAGCAAACGACAGAAGGGTTTAGGGTTTCAGGGGTTGAGGGTTTTAACACATGCTCAAACATGGGAGATTCTGAGACATGTACCAGCACAATCGTTAAGGAGGAGGCAGTGCACATTTTGCCTGACATCAATCAATGCACACATGTATATCTACATTTTGTAGTCTCCCGAAATAGGGGGACCCCAGTACAGACCCCAATATTTGTAATCCTTATTATTGGGGCCCCCTGTAGTACCCCTAATATTGAGAAACCCTAAACCCTACAAATCCTGATACCCCTATATACCCCTACATAACCCCTATATCCCCCCCCTCTCCCCCGCCCCCCCGTTTAGAGGTACCCCTCATTTTGCGAAACCCTCCTATGTAGGTTCATAACATACCAATATTGCTGGGCCTAACACAACCCCTAAGGGTCCAATGACCCAAATAATAGGGTTGTAGGGCCCAAATACTATAATACTCATGGTATTCGGGCCCTAGAGCCCTATTATTTGGGTCCTTGGACCCTTATATAAAGATCCAACTTGTACATTTGTCTTACTCGTGAGCATGAATACAGAGATACTTGCAAACAAGTACATATGGTAGTTTCCCGAAGCCCCAATATAGACCCCGAAATACTAGAGTCCTAAACCCAAACCTTGACCCCATGTCTCCCCATAACCTCTGAATGCGAAATATATCTGCAGAGTATTCGCACAACCCAGAACCCCTAGCCTCAACCATGTATGAAAGCATATACTTAGGGCCCAGAGGAGCTCCCGCACACTTCAAGGCCCAAGTATTTACTATATAGCTACATGGACCCTTTGCGTTCCAAAGCCCTAAAACCTACACCCTAAACCCTAAACTCCTCAAAAAAGAAGCGGGTAGCGTGCAGATTTGCGCATAACGAGCCAAAGCTGAGGCTTCAAGGAGCCGGCAAAAGACAAAGGCGCGAGTTTACGGCTTCCCCTGAGATTCAGGGGTAAAGGGGTCTAGGGTGTAGGGTTTAGGCTCCAGGGTTTGGGGTTTAGGGCGTATAGGGGCTTGACATCCATTGGGGTAATGTTAGGGCTATATTGGGGTGATATTGGGTAGCTCAGGGCTTAGGGGTCTACATCTACAAGCAAGCGGGTTTGGGTTTTCTATGTGCGAAAACCTATAAATGTTGCATCTTGGGTACTGCCCCCACCCAGTAACAGCCCATAATAGGGGTATTATTAACGGCTATATATAACCATATTATAAGTATTATCCAACTGTTGCTGGGTGGGGGCAGGACCCAAGTTACATCCTTTGGGTTTGTTGGATCTCGAAGTTTGGGTTTGGTGTCTAGGTATTCATTGTCTTTCGGGAAGCGGTTGCTTTAAAAGCACCTGGAAGATAATGTTGGACAACTAAGTAGCTTCCATATTTGTGGTAGAGAAGCCCCTTACCCGTTACTCTTGGCATCGTTGCTTTTCGTTGCCTGTTATGCTTTTTCTTGTCCTGGAGCTCCTTATGCCTCCAACTTGGGCCACACTCTTTGAGATTGTGAATTTTACAAAGCTGAGACTAGGGCGCAGCCCTATTTCGGCTTGCTGTTACAGGATTTGAACTCCGCTACCATAATGAGGAGCCCATGTCATTTACGTATATTCTTAGTGTTTCGTGGTAACTGAGTTTAAGGTCCGAAACTAGCAGCCCAGCATTTTGGGCGTACACAGACCATCATCCCCTTCCCTCCTGTTGCCGTATGGGATCTTCTGCAGTTACCCTTGTGGAGTCCAAGAGAAGAACACTGTGTTCTGCTGATACTCCTTCCAAGTTCCTAGGATTGCGACGGGTAGCCCTACATCCCCTGAGTATCCAACTAGGTCCATGAATTGGGGTCCCATTTTGTTACCCCCTAAATACTAGGTGCCGTAATATACTCCATAAACGAAAAGGGGCCCATAATTTGGAGAACAACCTGAGTCCTGCGGTCGAGAAACCTTTCTGATAGTGTTTGAAGCCTTGTTTGGTGACTAGAACTGTTTGAAACACCAGGTGGCATTGCCAAGAACCCTTCCCCTGAAAGTCATTATCGCTTAACCTTCCCGACGGGTTCATGGAAGCGATGCCCCTCCGCAGATTCGGTGTTTTTTTCCCGAATCAGGGCGTGCAAGTTTCAAAGCGGCTAACTAGCGATTGCTGGCTGAGACCATCTCAGGGCAGCAGGGATTCTAGGAAGGCCTTTAGATTTGAATTTGGACAGTTACAGGCATTTTTAAGCAATACGCAAAAGAAGAAGCTCACGGAAGCCATTGCATATCAGATTCACTGTTTATATCACAGAAACTTCAACCCTAAACTAAACCTTCCCAAGCCCTGCTAAGCACCCAAACATGGTCGGGGGTCGCTTCTGATGCGTGTACTCAGGCCATGTGTAGCAAGAGTAGCCGAGGAGCTTTCGTCCAAAGTAGCTTTCGTCGAGAGCCGCAGAAAGTGCTTTGACTGAGAGCATTTGACAAGGGGTTCAGTCTTGCAGCTTTTCGCGATGACGTCATTTGTCTCCCCTGCCTATCTTGCAGCATTTATGGCAGGCGCCACTTGCTTTTCCTTCCGTGTTGGAATTGAACTCGTCAGCTAGGCCATATAGCAAAAGCCTCAAACCTATCTAAACATTAACCCTAAACAAGAACCCCTCAACCCTATAAGCCCTAAACGCAGTGGTGCGGAGGCTTCTGCCAAGGAAGGACAGAGTCGACCTTTGTTGCTCCGCCACTGCCCAAGGCCACAACGTAGGGTGTGTAGGGTTCAAGGTGTATGTATGTGAGTTGCTCAACTTGCAAGGTCCCTTCTGCGGCTCCCAGAAAGGTGGCTGTGTTTTCGAGGGGTACACACCGGGAACGGCCACGAATTAAGCAAAGCGCCCGTATAAAGATGTGCCGGCTTGCCTGCGCCTCTTGATGCTTCAGATTATTGATTTTGTTTCCTCTTTTGAGTTCGTAAAGTATTTCGCAACCCCTAAACCCTAAACCCTAAGATCTAAACCCTAAGCCCTAAACCATCCTAAACCAATCCTGAAACTTAAGCCCTACCTTGACCATTGAAAGTCATCACCCTACAAAAGGCATTGCGGTCTTGGTCAGGTTTGTCATGGGCGCAATTGAGTCGCCACGAAAATAGATTTTGGAGTTTCAGGCTTATCGTTCGGGGTCTAGGGTGTAGGGGCCAGACCCCCTAATCCTATCTAAATCTGGCAGCCTCCAGGACCAGAGCCCTAACGGTCCATGTACCCAAAAAACGTTTCTTCCGACAGCTATGCTGCAATTGCGTTTGACAGATTTGGCAGCATTAGATATCTAGACCCTTAGGTGAACCCCGTGCTCAGAACCAGCCTGATTTTCTTTATTCAACACATGAATAGTTACCCCTATGATCCTTAGGCATTCCCTGTATCCTAAAGGTCCTTCATTTGGGGAACTCCACGCTTCATGACGGTTACTGACATTGGGAATACTTTGCATAGCTGGGCTGAACTTGTCGCTGGTGACTACATGAGCAAACAAAACAGTTCACGCGTGTTGCGGCGATTTGTGACACTTTGAAGGCCGCTACACCCTAAATCCTAAATTCTAAACCCTATACTGGCACCTAGCACAGGACCATACATCCTATTCCTACAGCTTTCTGCCCTGCTTTGCTTTAGTCTAGTATTGCTACGCGTGATACCGAAAACCTTGCTCGACCCTAGGTAACCAGAGCTGGGCTTGTAGTACTAGCGGCCAACTACGATGGATCGGCAAAATCGTGTACTACTGCATACTGGAATTCCTGGTATATAGAGTACAGACAGCAGGGCGAGGTTCCTTCCACTGTATCCACAGAGGCATCCAGTCCATTCAACAAACCTTCATGTACTAAATGCTAAACCGCAAACCCTAAACCCAATGGGTCTGCAGATTTCTAGTCGTAGGCCATGTTGGATTCTTGTACCGGCCTAGTATTTTGAAGCTGCGTATAGCTGTCCTCATAGCAAAGGTAAAAAAACACCTGAAGTGTCCCTCAGTAGGGTTGTAGTTGGCTTGTAAGTATATTTGCAGTTGCAAGTAGCTTATAAGTAGCATGCCTCTTAAAGCAATCTCACTTTACCTTTGGCCACCTCTTAAAGGGATCCTACTCTAGTTTTAGCTGCCTCTTGAAGTAATCCTACTCTACTTTGAGCTGCCCCTGAAAGTGATCCTGCTCTACTTGTAGCTGCCTCCTCAAGTAACCCTATTACACTTTTAGCTTTTACCCCCTGAACCCTAAAACCTAAAACCTAAACCCTAAAACCTAAACCGAAACCCTAAACCCTGAACCCTAAAACCTGAAGGCTCCCATCCCTGATGTCTCCAAGATGCAGCCGGGACATGCGGCGCACACGGCGCCAGGGCTCAGGGCTTTGGGCTTCGTACTATAGGGGTAGTTTAGGGTTTAGGGTTTAAGGGTTTAGGGTTTAGGGTTATATAGGGCGAGAAAGGTTATATAGGGTTTAGGTTTTTTTGGGCTAAGGGAGCCCCATAGACTTGAAGTAACCTCAGGGCTTCCTTTACCCAAATAATGGGTCCTGGGTTGTATATATCCTATAGTTACATGCCCTAAACTCCCTATACCCTAAACTTTTCAGTAGCCTAGTACTTAGAGGGCCTCCGGGAAAGACCTGTAGAACTGAAGTGAAACCCTAAGCCCCCCAGTAGCCTGCTATTTAGGGCCTCTAGGAGAGACGTGTAGAACTGAAGTGAGGCATATGAGCTACAGTCTACATTCCTTAAGGGGGTTATATCAGGGTTTATAGAGGGAGATGCTGGGAGTTTGAACTATAGCTCATATAGTCAGATGACACTAGGATCCCGCATGCGATTAAGGACGTATTCCCATGGGGTGTTGGACTGCATGGGTGAGGTTTCAGAGCTGATCACACATGGGCTAGGTAGGTACACTTCACGTTTGCGGAGCTTATGAAAGTTTACACAGATAGATGGGTTGAGGTGTGCATCTTTTGCCTTGGGAGAGGTTTGAGGTTGGCGTTTTGGGGTTAGGGATTGCGACCAGGTTTGGCTGTTGGCCTTGAACCCTATACCCTAAACCCATAAACCCTAATCAATCCCTGAACGCCTGCGCCCTAGACCCTAAACCCTGAATTTTTGGTTTGGGTTTCAGTGTAAACGTCAAGGGTTGAGCCTATGCTTGGGGTTTTGGAAGGTGCTCAGGATTTCCAGAGTTATACCCCTACCATCCACTACCCTAAGGGTTTACGGTTTAGGGTCTATGTGCCTAATGTCCAACAATTTAAATTTAGGTACTTGGGATTTTGGTACTGGCAATTGTAGTAGAGGTTTTGGGTAATTAGGTATATGACTATTCAGTACTCGGGCCCTTAGGGCTAGGTCCTGGGTTAAAGGATCTTGTTAGGGAACGCTTGAAGACTGCATGGGGCCATGTTGGGGCCATAGGGAGGAGCGCTTTAGAGCTATTACAAACCGAAAACCTTCCATTTGCCTCTTGAGTAGGGTTGAGTGTTTCGAGCTTAGACCGGTCGAGCAACAACTACCTCAAGTACTCGCAGATGGCAAGAGCCTGACTACTTGGAATAGGCTCTCGAGGGATACAGTACTACAAATATGTAAAAGGCTACATATTAACCATATCGCGAACTGCCCAGGTCCCTAAGCCTTAAACAGCGTAAACCCTAAACCTGAGGCTTCTACATCGATGTTCTTCTAGTGTCATATATAGCTCATATTACATATATATATATATATAGTAGTTTCCATTCTATTTTCCATTATCCCAATATTACCCCCAATAAACTATACGTGTCGTTGCGGGACAGGTGCATACCTACTGCGACCTTGGAGCGGAGACGGTCGCTTGGCTGGTTTCAGCTTTTTCGTCACAGAGGGTTTGGGGTTTAGTTTGTTGTGAGAGGGTGCAGGAGCCAAGGATCTAGCGACATCGGGCACAGTTAGGGTTTCTTTTGTCGAACCATATGCCTTACAGCAGCGTCCTTTTGCTTCCAGAAGTCACCACCTGAGAAAACCTTACAAGCATCGTGGCATAAGCTTGAGGGACAGAAATTTCGGGAATTAAGGATAGCTGTGATGTTCAGTGGTCACTTCGGGCAGGCTAGTCATAGGACACGGGTTTGCCAGTTAGATTTAGGGTTTAGCGCTTGGGGCTCAGTGTCTACACTTGCCCCCTCCGCTCTAAAGCGAAATCCTCCTAAGTACATTTTCTATACCTGCATGGCCAACCCTGAATCCTGAACCCTAAGCCCGGGGTACCTGGAGCCCCAAAGTATGTAGAATAATGGCCTTTTGGTCTATATTTAGTGGTTTTGGGCCATTTTTTACCCGCTTTGGGGGTTTAGGTAAACCCTAAACCTTAAACCCTGGGTAGAGACCAAAGGTAGATGAGGAAACTGCAGACTCAACTGCCACCTCCGTCCGACGAAATGTCGTCCAGACGATGGTGAACGAGGTCTCGCGGAACTCCATTGCCAGGGCCTTACCGGGAGGATTTGGGCTTTTTGTGGCTGTAGTGGCTTTTGCGTTTAACGTGGGATTCAGGCTAGGGGGTTTAGGGCTTTGGGCTTTTTGCGAATGTCAATTTAGGTTTCAAGGGAAGGTTAATCAGCAGCCTTCCTGCACTGAGTAAGGATGGCCGGGGCTCCTACAAGGACCTGGTCAACTTTCGTAGACGTTTGCTATACCACGGAGAACGTACATTCCCCCAACTAGCATGGAAGCTCGGGGGTCCTATAAGGACTACTTCCCACGGGTTTTGGTGTTCGTGGGGGGGGTGGCACTCTATAAGCCCTAAGTTGTGAAAACCAGAGGCTCCAAACCCTAGAGCCCCCAGAGCCCTAGCACCGGTAGGCATCGAGACGACTCGAAGCCCGAATCCTGCTCTAGGATTTTGAGAAACAGCGGCCTCTTCGTTGCGCAGATACTTCGGATAAGGAATGTAGTATTACGGTGTATGGTACGGGGAGCCCTGCGTTCCCAGACCACCTAAAGGATCCCAAAAATGGAACCCCCCCAAAATATGAACCCATTACTACATTGGGGAAACTAGGGGATTCTCATTAGGGCTCCATTTGTTGGATGCTCTTGGGGGCCGTGCGTTTGGAACAGCTCTTACCTTATTGCAGGGTGAGTCCGAATATCGCTTGCTTTTGTTGAGGGGTGAGTCCCTAGATGAGGGTACCCACAATCGGTGGTCCCTTTTAGTATTCAGGTCATCTCAAGGATTCTAGCGCCTTGGGGAAACAAAGTCAGCATCCTTCTCGCAAGTGCTTATATGGGTTTCCTCCATTTGGGGTAGTTTGACACAGCGCCCACTCCAAGCTCCAAACCCCAAGCCAGTAACCCCAGGCTTCCCCACCCCACAAAACTCCACTAAGGTGTGGCTTAGGCCTATTCTAGGCTTATTCAGGCTTAATCTAAGGGATTTGTAGTGTTAGGGGGGGTAGACAAGGGCCCTATAGCTCAAGATCTAAATGCTAAGCCCTAAGCCCGCATCCTATTGCTGGCGGACAGGACGCCATGGCAAAGGAGATTTTCTCGATCTACGTCGCCTGGTTTAGGGTGTGGGGTTTCAGTGTCTTGGGATTCCGAGCCATAAGCCCTAAACTCTGACCCTAAGGGTCCTAAAGCCCTTTTATTTGGGTCCTTGGACCTTTAGGGTGAACCTAAACCTAGAACTTGCGGTTTGGGTCCCACGGGTTGGAGCTTATAGAGCTGAAAGTTAAGTATGTAAGGCTTCGGGTTAAGAATGGAGCCCTTCGGTCTTAGGAAGGTTTCACGAAACTCGAAACCCTAAACTCTAAACCCTAGATTTAGGCTGCAGGCCTTGGGTGTGGGTCTGCGCTGCCGGTGTTCAAAGTTGTGAGTGCTTTAGGCGTCGGTTCTTGTTGAAATCTTTTTGAAGGCGTCGATCCAGGATTCGTGGGTGGGGTGGGGGTTGGGGGGAGCGCTGTCGAAGGACAGGTTCCCCTTTCTTGAGGTATTGATGTGAAGATATTAAACCCTAAACTCCTAAACCCTAAACCCGGAAACCCTAAACCCCAAATGTTAGATTTTCTTTGGGTAGCTTCATGGGAGCTCTTCAAACTCTACACTCTACGCTTCAACCCCAACAGGGGGGCATCGTTTTCAGAAACCCCAATAGAAGTCGATCCCATTGCTTTAGGCACAAATGGTGTAACAAGAGTGCTTTAGCAACCCCAACCCCTCAATTCGGACGCTGTATCGATCATAATATGGTTCATGGCATGCTTATGTTGAAGGTTGGTGATGTTGCAAATTCCATTGTGTTCCAGACTCTTCATAATCCCTACAAAATTCCTGCACTATCCCTACTTGAGCTTTACATAAGGCCTACACAGTGCCCAAGCCCTAACCTAAACCCTTACAACCCCAAAAAAGTCCTTACCCTCTTAGTACCCTAAACTCTAAGCCCTAAATCCTAAACAATGGAGTTCTCTGATTTTTGCTGTTTCAAACCTGGCTCTTAGGGATTTACACTATTGATTTAGGGGCCTGGTGTTGAGGATATAGGGTTGCGGCTCAAGGGTTTAGGGTTTAGGGTTCAGATTGAGGGTTTAGGGTTCAGGGTTCACATTGGGGGTTTAGGGTTTAGTGTTTGGAGTTTAGTGTTTTGGGTTTAGGGTCGAGTACCTAACTTGTGTGTAGGAGTTGGGCCCTTATGGGTTTCTGCATAGCATAGGTCCTTGGGACCCTAACTCCAATTCTCAGTTAATTGCTTGGACCCTTAGGCTTAACATCTAGGGGTTCTTACCGTTTGTAATTGGGAAGGCAAATCACAAAAGCTTTCACTCTGGTGAGGGTGTCAGCCAAGTGGTCCTAGAAGCTACGGTCGACAGAGGCCCATAACCTCAAGACGCCAAGAACTAAGGACAAAACCCAACCCCTACAGACTGCCCCTGTAAATCAAGCTACACCTTAAGTAAACAAGTACACCCATTACCCTACACCCTAAGCCAGGAGAGCAACATGAGTTGGAAAGCTCAAGCCTAATGCCCATCCGTGTGTCCTTCGTGGTACTACTAAGAGTCGCCCCTCAGTTCGTAGAATATGAGAGATACTTCTGTATGAAATGGGGTTGCAGGGTTTAGGGTTTAGGGTTTAGGGAAAACTGTGGGCTGCGATCTAAGGTTTGCACGCGGTGGGCCCCCACTGGAGACTTCGCGCGTGTCATGGAGGGGGAGATGGCTACAGGTCAGCTGCCCAAGAGCAATCCCTCGAAGCTGTGCCCGGGCAGCACACAAAGGCTTATCACAGAAAAAGGATAATTCGTGCAAAAGAACATGGAAGCTATTATATTATATGTATAGGGTTTGGGCTTTAGGGTTTTGGGATAGATACCCAGAGATCCCTGTACCCATGGATCCATCCAACCATATACCACTTGATTACGGAATATTCCTTGCACTTACGACATATGAAGGGTCCTAGTACTTAATGTAAACTGTAAACTCCTTATTAAGGTATGTATTACTGAGCTCTCTGGGACTAGCGTTGGCGATAAACTCATTCGTTGAAGCCCCCAAGTCCCCTAGGTAAACCCAAACCCTAATCCCATTCCGCTTGCAGCATGCACTTGCAGCAAGCTTCAACAGCTCAGCATATTTCTTCCCCGCAGCAAGCAGCCGCGACCCCTAAATAAACCTAACTCAACTCTACACCCCACAGCCTCAACCGTGGACTGTCAAGCCTGCATCCCAACTGGTTCTTAGTAGGGAAAAGGGAATCTTATCCCTATATACTACCTATGTAATATATTCCCTTATTCCCTACTAAGGACCAGTATACTCAGTAAGACTTTGCAGAATTCCCGAGCTGAATTCGGGCCCCCCTCTCAGGCCCCTATCTACTCCCAAGCGCTGCCATCCTTATTCAAGGACGTCCTTAAGCTGAACCCCCCCACCCTAAACCCTAAAAACTAAACCCCCCCGCACCCCACCAAGTTTTGCAAACTCTAAACAATGAACCACAATGAACCGTGGATCTTCCTACATAACCCTTCACCTCTTAAACTCCATATATGCTTATGTGCTGGGACCCATGGTAGTTGGAGGGTCAGGGGGACTTAGTAAGTAGGTTAATAAGGGGGATAACTGGGTTGACTATATGGGTTTTAGGGGTTACTAACCTAATTGCGAAGTCCCCCTGATCCTGCAAGTAATAGATTCTTCCCTAAACCCCGGCCGTGAGGTATAAGGAGCGCCGCTTTCTGCCCCTCCGGTGCAGCTCGAACTTCAAGGCGAATTCGTTCCTTGAATGGGGGGGCACAGTATTCATAAAGGGAGATCTACGGATGCAAATAGGCTTCTGGTGTGGATTAGGTCTTGTAAAGCTTAGGGATTAGGGCTGGGGATTTTTAGGGCTTAGGATTCGGAGTTTGAGGGTTAGCTTTCAGGCTTATGGTTTGAGATGGTCTGCTGCTAAGGGTTCAGCGCTTAGGGCTTCACATCGAAGGTTTGGAGATCCAGGGCCTATATAGGTTACAGGCTGAAATTCGGACATCGGCCACAAGTACAGCTAGCTGAAATCGTGGCTGGCTTGTCAAGTCGTGATGAAGATGCGCGGGTTCTATGTTTTTTTTTTATCAGCAGTGTGTTTTGTTTTTGAGGAAACTGCTGCGATTGCCGCAGGATGCTGGGTTCGTGTCTTGTCAAACCCTACATCCCAAACCCGAAGCCCTAAACCTAAACCCTGTAAAGTTAATATAGCCATAGAGCGCGGATTTATTGCAACTCCTTTGTGGGCTCATGGGGTTGGTACTTGAAGACTTCCACAGCTGCTGCGTTTGTCGAGGGTTTCGGGGAAGTAGGGATTAGGGTTTCCTGGGGGTTCTTTCGTTACTCTTATTTCCATCCCCTGGGCATTTGGTATGGAAATTCTGGAAGTGTTACTTTTTTCGGGTCTCGTCCATATATTCCCCAAAGCGGCTACTTTCAAGAATCAAGCCTTCGGGTGGTTAGAGGGTCGATCAGGTTTATGAAAACTGGATGTTTAGCATGGAAGCTGCTTCGTGAGCAGCTATTCGAGCTCAAGCGAGCCCTGGGGAAGGAGATTGGATGAGGCACGCCCAGACTCCATGTTGCATTGTACGTTTGTACGTCCACGGCTCCCATCTTTACCTCAGCTGGCTGCAGGTCTATGGGGGCGATGGCTGATCATTTCGAAGCCATTGGCTGGGCTGGCTAGCTTACAAGGGGTTACGTGCAGGGCTTAACATTATAAGGGGGTTCTGGGTATAGGGCTGTTATCTATATATATATATTATACATATATACCTATAGGTATGGGTTTATATATAGCTTAGGCCTTTGATCTATTTCGGGTTTACTTATATATATAGGCCCAGGTGTATCTATGGGTGGGAATAGTCTTTCTCATTGCATCAGCGGTTGTGCTTGCAAAGCGAATGTAACATGTTTCATTGATGGATACACCAGCTGGCTCCATTATGAGATTTCCTGTGTTTCCATGCGCATGGGTTGTATGCAACCTATATTAGCTGGAAACACATGCAGGGATCTAGCTTGCATGGATGCATCAATCAATTTGACATATATACGATCTGGGACACGTCCCAGCTGTGCGCGCGATGGCGGGCTTGCCTGACCTTCCTGAATGCCCAGTGCTTGCTGCTTGGGGGTTGTCAGAGGGGCTTATGAATCGGCTTTGCAAAGCCAATCTTCTGGTCTTGCAGTACCAATCTTTGGGGCGGCCTACGCTTTCTGACAATGTGGAGCTTTTGGCACCATTGATCAATAATGTTGGCGCCTTGCACTGCAATATATGTGTTGCAAAGGGATCCAAGAAAATTCCTCATACAGAAATTCCAACTTCTAAGATCATCCAGGACTGCGCCCAAGCATCAATGTTATTGTGGAGTACCTCAAGCGATTCTACATGAAGCATTTGCCGGCGAGCAAGCAGATGCCAACAGGTTGGTATAGGTTTGACTTTACATGCAAGGTTAATAATAATTTAATAGTATAGGTTGGACTTATCTTGATCAGTGGCACAGCTAGCTTGCATGACCTGATCAATTGCAGGCCTGGCCCTGAAAACTCAAGCGTGGATAATACGTCGATTGATAACTATCTTCGCGAAAGTCGCAAAGAGACCTCATGAACCTCGCGATGCTGGGGTCAGGGACCTCTTCCGACAATCTTGCATCCCCATCCCCTCCAGCATCTTGGCGAGATTGATATCAGAGAACATACCCTTAAGATTTGCAAAATCCCCTATAGACCCTAAACCCTATAAACCCTAAACCCTAAACCCTAAACCCTGAAAACCCTCACTCGCCCAGGTACCGGATCTGCCCAGTCTGATTGTGCTGACGATCCAGAATCCTTAGACGAGGATGAGGGCTCCGATGAGGGCGGAGAATCTGAAGTGCCCGAGGATGATATGGAGATATCATTGGAAGAGGCCCCTGAGAGAGCACTTGAGGTCCCAGGCCCTGCCCCTACCCCGGCCCAGACGTTGCCGTCTACAGAGCATGCTGCTCCCTTGTACCCAGCTTGTGTGGGGCCACCCCCGACTAGCCATGTGCGTCCTATGGATGGGGCCACTGCAGATCCTTCCTTAGAGATGCCTGTTACAGAGGCCCCGGAACCTTCTGACAAGCATCGTTCGACTAGTGAGCCCTCCGCTGAAGTTGCAAAGGCCCCAGAGCCCTCTGACAAGCATCATATGCCCTCTCATGAACTGCCATGCGCTGGGGAAGTCCATGGTACATCGCGTGCTCCTAGGATTAATTACTCATGCGCATTATATCATTATTGCTATCAATTTTAAACCTGCGTATAGTTCAACTGCATGTACCTATCCTACAGCTAAGGCTGTGCAGTCGATTGATGCTTCGAAGCTTGCTACCCTCTCTAGCGACAAGCCAGGCGCCCTACCCTGAACCCTACAAATCGCAAATGACAATAATTAAATCCAGGACAAGTCTCCGCATCAGATGCTACATCGCAGTCCTCCTCGTCCCTGATCGTGACTCCACCTCCCAAAGGCTGCTGGGCTGCATATAGTGCGGCTGGAAGTGGTAGGGAAGTCATGCTAGCTTAATGATCTGGAGTTATATGTTCATGAGGTCACCTGCTATCACCGCGGTCTGCCGCGAAAAGTCAGAGGATGCACTATTTTGTCAAAGATAGGGAACTTGGATTCAGATGCCTCAACTGCAACCAGACCGGTCAGGACCCTTCCTTGACTAAAAGCATGCCCTGCCATGCTGTTGAGGAAGCAGTTGCAAGACCCAAGCCTTCCCAGATTGACATGGATGCACGCAGAGCTCGTGAGCTGCAACTTGCTGAGTTACGCGAATTGGAAGCTGAAGGTATGTTGCTGCAAGAGCTGCTGCAGCATCAAACGGATTTGGTGGCCTTGGAGGCTCTTGAGGCTGAGGAAGCGCAATTGCAGGCCATGCTTAAGCATGAGGAGGAAGCGGACATATTGCAAGCAAGGATTCAAAGCCTTGCAGCTATGCCGCCTCCATCTTCGACCCCCAAAAAGAATAACAGCATGCCTCCTCCCAAACCTAGCAATCCAAGCCCATCCTCAATCCTGAAAATCGAAGCTGCGGAAAGCCTTGCTAAGCGTGCCCTGAACTTTGAAGCTGTGGACAAGTCCAGCAACCAAAGCCACTTGCTAGCAATACCTAATTTTGAATGTGCCATGTTCCACCCAAACATGTGCAATTATAGCCATAGCCCCATGTCCATCCTATATAAGGTCACATCGACTGCATCGAGACGCAGCCCTTATTGGAATTCGCTGGCCTCTTGGATTGCGAGGCAGAGCCCACGCAGGAGTGCCACCTTGGCAAAGATCTTATGGGGGTGGTGCCATGTGCAGGGCATGGGTTGCATCGGGGTGTGGCCAAAAGGGCTTTGGATTCGGAATCTCGAGAGATGGTTGTAGAGGTTCCCCAAGCGCAGGTGCAGGAGACCCAGGTTGCAGGCGGCCATGTGGCCAAAAGCGATTTGGATAAGGAACCAGAGGTTGCCCCCACGCAGGTGCAGGATACCCAGGTAGACGCAGGCACCCCTTCGTCCAGCCACCAGACAATTCACTATGATCACGAGGGTGAGGAGGCCCCCCTGACACCTACTGAGAAGGAGAGTGATCCTTGTATGCAATGTAAGTTCTAGCCACATGCAGGTAGCATGCAATAATAGTAATATATAATAAGCCCTATCCCTGCATGCATTTAAGGACATGCCTGAAGATGAGCTGCCGGAGTGTCCTGTGAGCAATGACATGAAACCCATCTCACCGGCCGAGCAGGCTAAGCTAAGCAACTCCCAGGGTAAGGCGAGGAAGACAAGGAAGCAGCAACCCTTGAAAGCTGTTGGTGAGCTTAGCAGTGAGGATGAGGAAGCGGGAACGCCTGGTGGAGCAGGCCGAGGGCGCGGCCGAGGGTGCGGCCGAGGACGAACAAGGGGCAGAGGTCGGGGTGCTGAAGGACGCGGTCAGGGAAGGGGCCGGGGTAGGGGGCGTGGCAGGGGACCAAAGTGCAAGCCGGCAGAGGATCAGGAAGAGGATCAGGAAGAGGAGCAGGAAGACACACGATCAGAGTGTTCTGAGGAAAAGGCGGTGGACAAGAATGGGGGTGATGTGGAGGACCCATCGGAAGAGGAAGCAGAGGTTGGAGAGGGGTCGGGTGATGATGCTGAGGATGATGAGGTAAGTCCACCGGCAATTAAGAAGCCAAAGCGCAGCAGCAGCAGCGTTGGCAAGCTCAAGCGGGTAAGCTCCATGGTGTACGATGATGTGACCGCTAGTGATGCAGATGAGCCCGAGTGCAAGAAAGCAAAGCGTGCTCCAAAGGCAAAAGCTGCCAATAAGAAGAAAACGCCGGCCCCAAAAGCAAAGGCAAAGGCGAAAGCAGGAAGCAACAAGCCCAAGCAGCACAAGCCCAACAAAGCAGCAAGCAACAAGCGGGGTCTTACGGATGAGCAAAAAGCAAAATATTCTAGGAAGAGCTCAGCGTATCATGCGGCGTTCAAGAAGGCAAAGGCCCAAGGCAAGTCTGATGATGTTTGCAAAGCACGTGCCAAATTGGTGCCCTGATTAAGAATATTTGTACATGAGTGCATGGGACTGCTATATATTAATTATGTGCTCATGTTCCGATCAGCTGAGGCATACAAGCGCGCTGACTAGTATGTGGAGCCAAGGTGATCGCGAGATCATGGGTTTGGGTTTTGCGCTCGAGTGGCAGCCAAGGTGCTGCAT